CTCAGCACCATCCATTTCCCAAGTGGTGCTGATGAAAGGCACTGCTCTGCCCCATTCTGTGTTCTGGCTCTCCTTGAGATCCCTCTCCATGTTATAGGTGAGGCTTCTGCTGCCCCAAATCTTATTAAAGCATCACCTTTTGCTAAGTTTTTTATTTTGGTTAGTGTGGGTTTATTCTATTCTATTCTATTCTATTCTATTCTATTCTATTCTATTCTATTCTATTCTATTCTATTCTATTCTATTCTATTCTATTCTATTCTATTCTATTTCTATTCCTATTTCTATTTCTATTTCTATTTCTATTGCTATTTCTATCATAGAACAGGCTGGGTTGGAAGGGACCTTAAAGCACATATTGTACCAGCCCCTGCCATGGCCAGGGACACCTTCCACTGTCCCAGGCTGCTCCAAGTCCTGTCCAACCTGGTCTTGGATGATTCCAGTGATGGATGCAGCCACTCTGGGCTATTCCAGTGCCTCACCACCCTCAGAGGGAAGAATTGCTTCCAAATGTTCCATCTAATTCTGCCATCTGTTAGTGTGAAGCTGCTCCCCCTGGTCCTGTCACTCCAGCCCTTGTCCAGAGTCCCTCTCCAGCTCTCTTGGAGCACATTTAGGCGCTGGGAGGGGCTCTAAGGTGTCCTAGGAGCCTTCTATTCCCCAGGCTGCCCATTCCCAGTTCTCCCACTATGGCACCATTCCCGTTCCCATTCCCGGCCCTGCACGCGCTGCCGCCGGCCGGACTCTCTCCTGTCCCCTAGCGGGGAAAGCCGGCGCTGCAGCGGCACCGGCACCGGCACCGGCACCGGCACCGGCACCGGCACCGGCACCGGGATCGGGATCGGGATCGGGATCGGGATCGGGATCGGGATCGGGATCGCAATCAGGGTGGAGGTCGGAGTCAAGGAAAGCCGAGTCCCAGGAGCCACCGTCAAGGTGTCACCGCTCAGCCCCCAGCTCCCGCTGCAGCCCCCGGTGGCACCGAGACTTCTCTCTGCTCCCGGCCCCGCGCACCGGAGCTCGCTCCGAGCGGGGTCCTTTCTCCGCTCTTTCGGGCATTTGCACGGGGCAAGTGTAAACCAGAGCTAAAGCACAGCAGGGAGTGGCGTGGGACCCTCTGCACTCCCCGCCCCAGGTTCCTGCAGCTCGGGGTCACCCACCGCCCGACCCCGGGAACCCCGAGCCGGCTGCGGGGCGCCGGGAGCCCTCACCGGGCTGAGAACGGGACGGGTACAAAGCACGGGGAGCCCGTGCTGAGATGCAAAGAGATCTCTTTGCAAACGGGACTGTGAAAGGGACCGGGAGTGCGAGCGGGAGTTGGAAGCACCGGAGTTCCAACCGGGCTGCGAATGGGACCGGGCTGCGCATCTCCGGGGGCGCAAACCGGGATGGGAACGGGACCTGTCTGTGCACTCCCGGGAGTGCGAGCGGGGCTGGGAACGGGACAGGGCTGCCAAGCAGCCGGAGCCCCAGCCGGGCAGTGAACGGGAGCGGTGTGCGCAGCCCGGAGCCCGGCGGGGGGCGCGGGCCGGACCGGGAGCGGAGCCGGGCGCTGACTCAGCCGCCGCCGCCCCGGGCCGTGACGCGCCGAGGGGCGGTCGCTGCCGGCTCCATATAACGCGGCGGCCGCCGTGCAGAGCTCACACCGACCCTTCCTGAGAGGGAAGAGGGGCTGAGCAGCCGGGCAGGCAGCGCCTTCCTCCTTCTTTCTCCTCTCCTTCTCGGCGCAAGCTGCACTTTTGGCGGTGTCAATGAAACTGGCAGCGATGATCAAGAAGATGTGTCCCAGCGAGGCCGAGCTGAGCATCCCCGCCAAGAACTGCTACCGCATGGTCATCCTGGGCTCCTCCAAGGTGGGCAAGACGGCCATCGTCTCACGCTTCCTCACCGGCCGCTTCGAGGAGCAATACACGCCCACCATCGAGGACTTCCACCGCAAGTTCTACAGCATCCGTGGTGAGGTGTACCAGCTCGACATCCTGGACACGTCGGGCAATCACCCCTTCCCAGCCATGCGCCGCCTCTCCATCCTCACAGGTACTTGTCAGGAGGTCCCTCTGCCAGATTCCTGCTCAGTGTGGGGATGTTTTTGCAGTCCTGGGAGGAGGGAGGTATGATTTTGTGTGTTCAAGTGGTTGGGTAGCTCTTCTTGGTGGACTGGAGGGTGCAGGACCTGGAGGATGCAGGACCTGGTCCTTCCCTCTCCAAGCCTCTGTTCGGCTTAGGAGTGGGTCCCTCTTGTCCCCATCCCTGCAACCATCTCACGTTCCCTCCTTGTCCCCAGGAGACGTGTTCATCCTCGTGTTCAGCCTGGACAACCGAGACTCCTTTGAGGAGGTGCAGCGCCTGAAGCAGCAAATCCTGGAGACCAAGTCGTGCCTGAAGAACAAAACCAAGGAGAACATAGAGGTGCCCCTGGTCATCTGTGGCAACAAAGGCGACCGGGACTTTTACCGGGAGGTGCAGCCCCGGGAGATCGAGCAGCTGGTGGGAGGGGACCCCAAAAAATGTGCCTACTTCGAGATCTCAGCCAAGAGGAACAGCAGCCTGGACCAGATGTTCCAGGCGCTCTTCGCCATGGCCAAGCTGCCCAGCGAGATGAGCCCCGACCTGCACCGCAAGGTCTCGGTCCAGTACTGCGACATCCTGCACAAGAAGGCGCTGAAAGGCAAAAAGCTGCTGAAGGAGGGGGGCCGGGGCACGGAGGAGGCGTACGGCATCGTGGCCCCCTTCGCCCGGCGGCCCAGCGTGCACAGTGACCTCATGTACATCCGGGAGAAAGCCATCGGCGGCGGGCACGGCAAGGAGAAGGATCGCTGCGTGATCAGCTAGGAGCCCCCGCTCGCCACGGGAAGGGAAGGAAGGAAGGAAAGAAGGAAAGGAGGGGAAAGATGCTCGTTTCCGAATTGACTTGGGACAGGTGCCCACGTGGGCAGAGAGGGCGTCGCCTCTCCCCCAGCCTCCCTCCTCCCGCTTTCATCATCTTCCTCCCTGGGGGTGCATTTTGGGAGCGAGGGATGCGAAGGGGGAGGCTTTGGAGGGCAGGAGGGGATGTCACTGGGAACAGCCTCCTCCTCTGGGCAAAGGGACAGGGAAAGGGTGAGCTGCTGGGCAGCCAGGTGAGAGGATGAGTGTGGAGGGCACAGACCTTGCTGTTTCTTTCCCTCCCAAACCTCAGGAGGGAGGGCAGGGGCCTGCCACCACCTGCCTGGGGCTTTGGGCTTGGTTCTTGGTTGTTTGTTGTTTTTTTTTCCAACTTGAGAAGCTGTGCACGGACTCTGGCTCTGTGTTGTGTGTTCATTTGTGTCTGCAAAACACATGCAGAAGACTTCTAAGCTGTTGCAGAGTTACAGCCCCGATGGACCAAAAAACTGACTCTTGTTTACATTTGTCTTGTTTGATTTGCAAGATTTGGGGAGGGTGGGGGGAGCGGGAAGGGTTTTACAAAATAAAATAATAGGCACTTTATGTAGGTATTGTTTGTCATTGACATGAACAAAAAAAAAAAAATCTTCAAGTGTTTCTACCGTGGGTGAAACTTGATGTTTTATTTTTTCTACAAATTAATAAAATCTTTTAAAAAATTACACCTGCAGGTTTGCCTTTGCTTCCTTGCCCTATCCCATAGCAAAGCCTGCTAAACTAAAGGCCTGAGCTGCGAGGTAACAAACCCAAGCCCTCTATTGCCCCATTTTCTCCGACTCCCAGTGCAAAGGTTCCCGCCTCTGCAAGCCGCAGGGTTTTTGCCACACAGGGTAACGAGAGGCCACGCAGGGAATTACTCACTCCAACGGGTCACTGAGCCAGCACTCTTTCCTCACTCCACTACGCCGAGTGACGGTGCTGCCAGCCCCACGACACGCCGGGCAGTGGCATGTCACTGCCTGCAGTCACCCAGCAAACTGACATCACTTCGTTAGAAAGGGCTGATTGTGTTTCATGCTCCTTGCTGATTAACTAAGCACACTTTAATGATGTCAACACAGACTGATTCACTGGCACCCCAGCTGGGATATTGTTTTTACTCTGCAATATGAGTAAAGGAAGTACTTTGTTCGAAAGGTCACCTTTACATCTGATGGTTTTTAATCTCTTCCCAATAACAAGTTGCAGTAATCGTTGCTGGAAGTGAAAGGGAAACAGGATCACTCTTCAAAGGCGGCTTTTCCCAGCTCCAGCTTTTCAACCTCTGCTTCCCCCTCATGCAGCAGCACAAATCTGTGTTTAGTACATATTAATGGCAAAAAAAATTGTATTGAAGGCACAAAACAACTTTGTGTTGGGGGACAAAAAAGGTGGGGGAGTGAGATTGCAAAGCAAACCATTCTCAGCTTCGCTTGAAACTTGGATTCAAGTTGACAGAGTTAACTTGTTCCTGATCTAAGTGCCAGACATTTCTTTGGCAACCAGTTGTTTCTTCCAGCTCTGCCTATGCCTGATTTCACAGGAACAGCAACTGGCAAAAGAATGGAAAACATCATCCAAGCATGAGACACAGGAATTTATTGAGCTGGGACAGGCAGTGGCTGGTGGAAAGGCAATTTCAGTAATAAAAAATGTGTACATTGTGCTTTGTTTATCTCAGTGTTCTGCTTTACTCAGAGTTTACACACTGGCACCTTCCCAAAGAAAGTACTAGTACAGAATCTCACTGGGGACAGAGTAAAAACTCAGGTGAGTTAAAAACTACAGGTAATAAAACTCAGGTAGTAAAAACTACAGGTGAGTTGCAACCATCCCACTGAGCAGAATTACCTGTTCCAGCTGCTCAAATGTTTGTGGTTGTGGGAAGCCCCTGGATGTGGAACTTGCCAGTCCTGTTGAGCCTGACTTTAGTATGGAATAACTAAAAGATTTTATCATTTATGCCCTTTGTTTTGATTCTTGCCCTTCTTCTGTTTCAAAAGGGAAAGACATTGGAGCTGGGCCCAGGATCCCATGTGCTGCCAACATCCTGCTCTGCCCACATCCACTCAGTGAACACACAAGAGGGGCAGTTTGGAATTTATAAATCTTTATTTGACTCATCTCAAACACAACCACCAATTGTTTAAAAAGAGAAATACAAAAGTAATTGAAAGCAATAACTCCTCTTCCAACACAGAGGGAATGGAAAGAGTACCAGAGACTCTTTCCAGGAGCAGGGCCAAACAGTTCATGCTTCCCTCTTACGTTCCCTTTTGATCTTTGGCCATTTTTAAGTAAAAAAAAATGCAGAAATGCCCCCTTTTTCACCAGCAGGTACTTTGACCCTTAGTGAGGAGAAAGCAAAATGTCTCCTGCTTGTTTGAACATAAAAAAGAACCCCACCCAGAGAGAAAACAGGAGATGGGATATATAAGTGCAGAGCCCTGCAGCTGATGAAGGGAGCGTGCCGCTGCCATCGTCCCAGGAGAGCACACGGTGTCCTGGCTCAGTGTCACACACCCATGGTCCACACAGGCACAACGCCACAGCACTGGAACCACAAAACCTGAAGCAAGAAATGTCAATTTCTGCCACCCTGTTCAGCCTGGGCAGGAGGTATCTCAGACCCAGAGAGTGGAGCTGTGCCTTTCCTACTCCTTGGGGATTTCAAACATGCAAAGGCTCTTGTATTTCTGCAGCAGCTCGTTTTTGGTCCGGACCTGCTCCCGCAGGTTCTGCAGCTGCTGCTGCTGCTGCTCTGGGCTCACCCCGATGCCAGGCATGGAGCTGATCAGCTTCCTCATCTCCTGGAACTTGTTCTTGAGCTCATTCAGTACCTGGTGAACATCCTGGCTGTCCTTGTCCATGCTGCAGAGGAGAGGAAATTGAGACACTGTGAATTCTCTAATTGAAAACACTGGAATCTCCAATACAACCAGGGTTTAAACTGGAATTCACTGGAAAATTGCTCCTGGTATCTAGCTACACACACCTGATTCACCTATCCCAATAAAATGACACAGATAGATATAGACTGGGTAGCTTAGGGGGCAACTGGTTTCCTGCCAATTTCCAGCACACAATCCAGTCACCTCAGGATGCATTAATCAGGTTAGGAGCTGCTCTGCAGCTTTCAAACATCACCCTGGAGCAGGCTAAATTCTCCCTCTGAACTCCTGTACCTCTCTTTGGGAAGGTAAGATTGCATATGTGTTGTGTGTAGTCACCTGGAAAAAAGATCTCAGTCTCACCTGTGACCTGTTGCTGCTGTAATACAAAGAAATCAATGCAGTCAAACAGCATGACAGCAGAAAACAGAAACTGTTCCCCAAAGTGTCACAGAATGTCCAAAGGCAGAGAAAATGCTACTTGGGAGATTTAAAAGGAGTCTCTGGGGATTTATACTTAATAAAAGAGAAGCGGTGGGGGTTTTTTTGGGTTGGTTTGGGGTGGGTTTTTTAAGAGCAGCAGAATTGGCTCTGCAGCCAGCTCTGTGCTTTTCAAGGCTTAGTGTTGTCTGAGGCAGCGTCTGCCCTTGAACCCTCATTAGTATCTGACTCAGCTTTGTTAGCACCAGCAAGAAGTTTTACTGATTCCAGGCAAAAGCAAGTCCCCGCTTCCAGGCTGCCTGTTAATAGGGAGAGCAGGATTCTAATGGTCTTTGAAAAACTGGGAGCCTGTTCAATAGCCAGACCTAAAAATAAATCTGCTTGGCATGACCAGGGCAGAGAGGTGCTCGATTATAACTTTGGGGAATCGTGACATGGCTGAGAGCAAAACTTTTAAGCAGATGGCTGCCGTTTGCTTCAAAAGCCTGTTGGAACAAAATATTCATTATTCCCTTCTAAATAAAACTGCAGCTGGTACTATAATGTCTCCCCGTTATGCAGACACTCAGGGCCAGGTCAGCAGTGGAAAAATACAGAAAAACACACAACCAACCCCAGCACATCTGGGGAAGGATGGGGTGACACTGCCTTTTATTCACACAGCTGTAGGCTGGCTTTGACAGGGGTGTCCTCCCCACATCTCATCCCCATCCCCACTCAAACAGAACTGACAGCTGCCTGTTGCCTTGTTGATCCAAAGGGATAAATATTTTGGGGTTGGTTGGTTTATTTTCCTGATGGGTAGTTTTCTTGCTGGATGAAGCCACTGAAGCAATTCCCTGTTTGGGGGCACGGAGAGATGGGAGTGAGAAGGGTGTGGGAAGAGCCTGCAGTTGCCTGCACTAACACAGAATTCAACACAGCATCCAACCACAGCCTGTGCTGATGGACTGGGCACAAACCCCGCCTTAAGGCACAGTGTTCCTCACCACATCAGCCAACCCACCATCGGTGGAGCCACATAGTGGGACCTCAGCAGTGATGCTGTTGACTGTACAAGGCTGAAAATATCAGCAGACCCTGTTTAGGAAAACTTTCTCCAGACCCAAACAGGAAACAGCACCCGTCCTTGAATGTCAGCAGATTTACGTGATACATCCTCGCTCTGGAGCACAGAGTCACCTTGGAGATGTGTCCTCATGGCTGAGTCAGTGTCAGAACAGCAGGGCTGGGCTCTGCCACTCGAGGCAGTGTTAGAGGACAGCTGGTTTGCCATCTGTCAGGGACAGGAGGCAAAACATCCCACCTCTGGCTGCCAAGGTGCCACCTTTCTGCCACACTGTTCAGCACCTACACTGACTTGAGCTACCCAGGAATCTCCCCATGTGAAGCCAAGGGAGGAGTGGGTGGCTCGGTGGGACAGGGCACAAGATATCTCTGGGACTGTCACCTGTGAGTCACAACAACCTGATCAGTGACACATCACAATCTGGGAGGTCTCAGCCCATGGCTACTGACTACTTTGGTGATGTACATGCACACACCTGGCAGGGGATTTAGCCTCACTCTGTGGTCTGCACAGATCAGAGAGTATCAAGGTTGGGGGCAACTTGATGGCCTACACCTAGCACAGTGGGGAAACTAAATGAAATTACAGTGTTTGTGTTCTAATGCCCATTCTGGACTCGTATGTCAAAGGCATTCATTCCCATGGACTGGGCTGCTTGGGCTGCAGAGCCATTAGGGATGAACCTCCCTCACCTTTCAGACATGCTTGCTCCAAATGAAACATCAGCAGGACACAAATCAGCTCCTCAATGAGTGCGGAGGAAGAGAGCAGGAAGAAAGCAATTCATGCTTCCCATGCCCACTGCCTCACCCTGCAGTGTGCCCAGGTGAGAGCACAGAGCCTGCCTGGATGGATTTCCATGGCAGAGACATCCCCTTTCTGGGAATTCAGATGAGCATCTTTGGAGGGTTTTTCCTGGGTTAGAAACATGTCGGTTCTCAGGACTCTTGTACCAGCACCTTTCACCTGTACAGTGCTTATCTTGAGCTGGGAAGAGAACAGTGTATGTCCCACTGAGGAAGCCATCCTCCTTTTTACAACTGCCCAGAAATGGCTTGCGTTCCTGACGCACTGCCTGTACTTTCTGAGGCTGTTATCATCCCAAGAGTACAGTTCTCTGGAGCAATAACCCAGCGGACACACAGTGCTCCTGCTCCAGGGTTAGTGCTGGGGCAGTGTACCTGAGCCACGGGAGCAGCTGCACTGCTCAGGTGACCCTGACACCACCCAGGTACTGGCACAAATCAGAGAGATGCACTTGGGGCTGTGCCAGCTCCCTCCAACACTCTTCCCAGGAACTCCAGCTGACAGAAAAAGGGCAAAGCAGATGCTGGGAGGATGGAGAGCATCACTAGAGGGGTGACCCATTGCCCTGCTACCTGTTCAGGGCATCCTGAAGAAACGGGGGTTGGGAGTACATCACTTGAGGGAGGATCCAATAGCCCAGCTCCCCGTTCAAGGCATTATGAGCATGCTAAGGATGAGAAAACAACTTAGAGGGAACCCCGTAACTCTGCTCCCTATCCAGGGCATCTCAAAGATGCTGTGGTTGGAAGAACATCACTCGAGGGGAAACCCCATTGCCCAACTCCCCATCCAGAGCATCCTGGGGATGCCGGCTGAACATCACTCGAGGGGGCATTCCATTGCCTCACTCCCTATCCAGCGCATCCCCGAGGATGCTGTGACTGGGGCGAGGCCACCCCTTAGCCCTGCTCCTCACGCAGGCCCCGATGGCTCCGGTGTGAGGCAGCACCGTCCGAGCGGGGCGGCGGCGGCAAGGCCGCGGTGCCCGGCGGGGCGGGGGATGGCGGTGGCCGTGCCCGCCGTTACCATTTGATGATGTCGTGGACGAGCGGCAGGAAGGAGAACTCCTCCTGCACGGGCGGCAGCGGCGGCGGTTTCTGCTCGGCGGGCGGCTCCGGCGGCGGCGGCTCCTCAGCGGCGCGGCCCGCGGGCCCGGACGCCATGGCGGGCCCGGCAGTGACGGAGCGGAGCAGGGCGGGCCCGCCATGGCTCCGCCTCACGGCGGCCGGAGCCCTCAGCGAGCCAGGGGCCGGACCGGGCAGCGCTCAGGGTCGGGGAGTGGGGCCGTGCCCTGCACCGTCACTGTCATCCCCAGTGATCCGCCTGAAATTTCCAGTGGTCCTCCCCGAAACCCGCAGTGATCCCCTCAAATGCCTCCACAGTGATTGCGCCTGTCCCCCAGTGATCCTCCCTGAGACCCTCAGTGATCCCTCCTGAAACCTGCAGTGATCCCCCTGAGACCCCCAGTGATCCCTCCTGAGACCCCCAGTGATCCCTCCTGAGACCCCCAGTGATCCCCCTGAGACCCCCAGTGATCCCTCCTGAGACCCCCAGTGATCCCCCCGAGACCCAGGATCCCAGGAACCACCCAGCGGTCCCAGGAGCTATCTGTCTGGTCATGGCTCCCAGCCGTGTTGGTGTGCAGTTGGATTTGTGTCCCAAGTCTCTGTGCATCCCTCTCTTTCAAACCAAATCTGAGGGGGAAATTGCATTATTCTGTGTAAATAACCACAGCAGAGTTTCGCTGTCTCTTATATCCCAGCTTTCCACCATGTTTTTCTGTTATTTGGTGTCCTCCGTTTGACTTTAATGCAAATGGCAACGATACAGGTTGGATGATGGGGATGTGATCGTTGAAATGCCTTAAGGACAGATGTTTACATGGGACCAGACTTTCTGCTCAAAGGAGAAAGCATGGCCAGCATCAGTTGGAAGGAAGGCAAGCTGGAGTGTTGGATGAGAGCCTGGGCTGGAGACTGGAGGAAGAATAGAAGTGTCAGGGCTGGGACTGCTGTGAAGCTGGGAAAGGGACAAGAACGGGGGGGAGAAGGCTGAGAGAGCTGGGGGTGCTCAGCCTGGAGAAGAGAGGACTCTGGGGAGATCTCAGAGCCACTTCCACTGCCTAAAGGGGCTCCAAGAGAGCTGGAGAGTGACTTTGGAAAAGGGCTGGAGTGACAGGACAAGGGGGAATGGCTTCCTACTGGGTTACCTGGGATATTGGGAAATTGGAAAAAAAGAAAAAAATAAAAAAAAATTGGGAAAAAAGAATTCTTCCCTCTGTGGATGAGACCCTGGCACAGGTTGCCAAGAGAAACTGTGGCTGCCCCATCCCTGGAAGTGTCCAAAGCCAGGTTGGACAAAATTTGAAGCAACCTGGTCTAGCAGAAGATGTCCCAGCACATGGCAAGAGATTGGAAGCAAGTGATCTTTTAAAGTCCTTTCCAACCCAGACCATTCTGGGGTTCTGTGAAGAAGTGGAGCTCCGGTGTGAGTGACCTGCAGGAGGAAGAGATGTCTCGGGATGGTGAGTGGTCAAGGCTGGGAGAGGGAGGCTGCACCAAGCAGCCTCAATTTGCTTCAGTGAAGTGCTGCCCCTGTGCTCAAACCCCTGTAACCACACAAAGCATCACAGCACGGATAATACCAGCCACAGTTGAGAGCTTTTATTCCTGGTTTGGCTTAGACAAAGCGCGTGATTTAATTTTTAATTTGAAATAGGCCTCCCTGCTCAATGGTTATAGGCTGAGGAAGACTGGGAAGGCAATTTTCTTTTTTAAACCAATTTCCTTCTGAAAACAAACAGAGGCTATTTATACATCTAATGAGAATGCTGGCAACCATTTAAATGGGAGTATTGGCTGCTTGCTCTAAATATAGCAGATGCAATCGCTCACTTTGTTCCTACTGTCAGGAATAGATCCTTGTTCGGTAACTGATGCTGGAATGTGCAAAGGAGCCTGGGGGAGCCCAGGTTCCGCTGAGCAGATCCCTGTGGGAAGGCTGGTGGTATTTATGGCCCTTGACTGAGCCAAGCAGGAGGCACAGGATGCTGTGTCCTTCAGATGGGGCTGAGCCAAGAGGTTCATTTCTGTCTCTTTTTAAGGGCTGTTTCTAAAGCAAGAGTTGATTCAGGCTCTGTGGGGAACATTTCCCTCAGTACTGTGCTGGTTTTAATTCTCCCCTTGGCTTTCTGGAGGAGGGCAGCAATAATTGCTGGGCTGCTGGATGCCTGCCTCTGATGGTTGAGTCAGGCAGTTGTTCCAGCAGGTGACAACATGCAGATACCATTCAGTAACTAAAGTGCTGTCAATCAGCGTTTCTTTTTGCCTTTCCATTTCCATTTGGAGTCTGGTGTTCCCAAAGTGCTGGAACACAGTCTTATCTAGTTGGTGTGTCCCTGCCTCTTGCCTTCTCTTCTTTGT